CCAAGTCGCCAAACAGCAAGGACCTGGCGGAAATGACCGGGCCACTCGGCCCAAGAGGCCCTCCATGGCGCGACTGTGGCTGGCTCGATCTCGCGCGCATGCCCTGCATTCCTGGCCGGTGTCGAGGCCAGCGCAGATCTTGGGCGCGGGGCCTTGCAGTTCCACTAAGACGCCCACCAGGCAGGAGCAAAGGATCAGGCAAATGCCTGGCAAAAGCGTCCACGTATGCCCGAACCAGTCGCGTTTCATTCGGCGAAGCAAGGAAACCGAAAGCGATTTCGAATGAACACTGCATGGAGCAAGTGGCAAAATGTGGAGTTTCAAGCCGCCAACTGAAGCACGAGACCACTGGAAGGCTCTCTGAATACTTCTTCCAAGACATGTCGGGCTCCCATCAATTCAGTAATGACCTATCCGAAAGATCTAGGCTTCGCTATGAAACAAGCCGTGTGGGTTCTATGCGGGATCACGCAGCTGTTTTGACTTGACTAGACCATATTGCCAAACACCCCAAGTCAAACCCAATGGCTCCGACTGGGCACTATATCGAACACTTAGGCATCTGCTTGAACTCCGTGCACAATCACCTAGTAGACGTCTTTGAGGTGGCAAGGAAGCAGCAAGTTTGCAAATCCCAAAGAAGACATGTCAATGCACGCTTACAAAGTAAAAATGCGAGTGGTGCCATGCCCTCTCACAAAACAATCAGGCTGTGCCTGGATTCCGTGGCGCAGACCGACATACAGTTTAAGGATTTGTCCGAATCTATCCTCAAGACCCTGTCCAGGGTAGTACCCTTTAGACTTCAGGCACTTATAACGTGTGCAGTCCAGAAAACATAGTGCCCTGCCTCGCTCCTTTGCTCGTTTGCTACCGCCGCATGTGCGCTTGGATTGCATCCCCAGGTATTGACGTGCGGATGTGCAAACGACTGGGTGGGCAGGGCTTGAACCTTCAGACGATTATCGGACTGGCACGTGTTGCTCTCGGCCAAGAGCACGCTGGTTGAACCCGAATCTATTCTGAAGACAGCAGTACGAAGTAGATACCAAGCAAGGACAACGCTAAATGCTGCATTGTTCTGATTGATCATGTAGATATTGGCATTAAAGTCCTACGTAACAGCCTTGCTTCGCGCAGAACGTGATTGATCGTGATTGCGGCATCGCAGAGTCATATTCACATTGCACATCATGTTTGCGGAAATTACCGGCGTTTCCAACTCTAAATTAACGACGCAAGGCAAACTGTGCCGATGAATTTCAACATAGTCTTCACTGTCCTTGTCTATCTGTGGTGCACTCTGCCTTTTCTAACATGACATCCTTACAACGAAGCAACCAACATGACGGCAAGCAGGTTGTTTAAATTGGGCACTTTGCTCAGAGTGCAGCTGGATCAGCGGCAAAATGAGGTCAAAGGCTGTAAGGTCCTATTTCTCAGTTCGGATGCGGGTGGAGATAGCTTGGTCGAGTGGCTTTCATCTGGTCTCCGCCAGCAATGGGATCACTCAAGGCACATACGTACGCATAGTGCGTTGTTGACACAGTTGGCACGTGCTTTTTGCCTAGCTCTGACACGAGCTTGACTCTTTCACAGCTTGGCGCCTCACGCAGGTCTGTTTCGTAGAAAAGAAGGACCTACTGTCTTTACTGGGGATGAGTTTTGTCTGGGGCATTCCTAGATTTTAGGAGGTGGGTGGTGTTTTTTCTACCTTGGTGGTTGGGGGCACGCTAGTTCAAAACCAGACCAACCTATGTAAAACAACGCGCACAACAATTCATTGCAAGGCTCAGATGAAAACTGCAAGACCTGCTCAGGACCCAGAGACAAACCGCCCACAAACGACCCTTCACCACCAAAATCTCGCTCAATCCAAACAAAGCTTTCAAAAATCCACCCCCGAGCTAACCTGGACAAAGACGATATCGCCCCCACCCCCACTCTAATGGAACTCCAAAGCAGCCAGGACACTGCCCAACCTCAAGCAACTGACCCAGTCAAAAATCAGCCAGCCAACCAATGCAGCCCAAGCCAGCGCAACCCAGGCAACAACCCAACTCACCCACAAACCAACTAAGCAACCAGGTAATCAAGCAATCAAGCAATCAAGCAACAAAGCAACAAAGCAACCAAGCAACCAAGCAACCAAGCAACCCAGCAACCAAGAAACCAAGAAGTAGCCCAACCCAACCCAACCAACAACCCAACTAAGCAACCAAGCAACCGAGCGACCACCCACCCGCCAACCAACCAAACAACTAAACAACCAACCAACCAACCAACCAACCAACCAACCAATCAACCAACTAACTAACCAACCCACCAACCCACCAACCCACCAACCCACCAACCCACCAACCAACCCACCAACCCACCAACCCACCAACCCACCAACCCACCAACCCACCAACCCACCAACCCACCAACCAACCAACCAACCAACCAACCAACCAACCAACCAACCAACCAACCAACCAACCAGTTTGCCAGAGCTGAG